GTTTAAATGTATGATATTTGGGGTGTTTAGAAAGAATGTTTTCCAAAGGCGAGTTGCCACCAGTTGGCGGTTGAGGCTATGACAAATTAGAGTTAGAAGAAATTGAGATGTTTAGAGATTTAAAAAGTTGTATAATTTTAAAAGTAGTAGGACTGTTAATAGAGAAATTTTTTTATTGGAGAAAGAAGTATAGGTTGTGAATATTAGGATAGTTAAATAGCAGAATAGGTGATAATGTATAATTATTGGCAAGGTGATCTGCTAAGTTATTATAAGTATTATTAGCATGAGCTTGAACTTTGTAGAAGGTTAGGCTAATATTGTAGGCTTTGAGAGAGTTGAGAATTGTATACAAATGGGCTATGAGTTAAATTTGAAATATTTGGTAGAGAATTGTGAAGTCTGGAGTAGTTTGTTATATTTGGAAATCACAGATTGAGAGTTAGTAAAGATATTAACCAAGGAGATGTATGGGACAGTAGAGATAGCAAAGAGAATAGCAAGAAGCTCAGCTTTGTAAGATGAAGGCTAGTTGATAATTTGAGCTAAGAAGTTGTGAATAACTGTATTGTTACAGATTTGGATCTAACCAATATCCATAGTACATTGCTCCATACCAAGATTTTTGACAAAACTGTCAGTAAAGAAAGTAAATTGCTTTAAAGGTTTGTTAGCTAAAGCAATTTAAAAAAGGTTGCTAGATGCAGTATTGTTATAGAAAAGCAAAGATGTAAAAGAATTAGTAATATTAATAGAGGGTAGTAGTAGAATATTAGGTGGGCTTTTGATAGTAGTGGATTGTATAAGATCAATATAGTTAGTGTTGAGTTTGAGCTGATTATTAGATTTCTTTCCAAAAAATTAAGTAGAGAAAATGGAGAAGACTTCAAGAGTGCAATGATTAGAAATACGATTGGAGTTGAGATTACAGCCTGGACAAGGCTTGCAAGAGATAAGAGAAAGTGGGTAACAGTTTAAGTGAGAAGTATTAATATCATGTTGCCAGTGTATAATAGAAATTGTATTGGATTGATGAAAGATTTTGCAAACTTGTCCAATAATAACACTATTATTGTATGAGATAAGTAACTAGGGTTTGAGAGATTTGTTTATAAGATTAGTTTGGTAAGCAAAAAGATTATGTTCTGTTAGTCAGAAAGAGGAAATAATTGTGCGAGAAGGACTATGAGACAGGATAGTATTTTCTAAATAATTAAACCAAGTAGGCTTTTTTCTTTTGAAAATATGAAGTAATCTAGGAGATAAGTGAAACCAGTTAAGTAGTACATCATTGTTGGCAGAACATAGTTGTTCAAGAAAGAGAATCTTTTTGTGCTAAAGTTGTTGTTTAAAAGTGTGATAGTTGGGATGTTGAGTAAGGATATTTTCAAGAGGAAGGCTACCTCTAGTTATAGTTTGTAGCCAGGCAAGATTGTGATTAGAAGTAATAGAAATATTAAGCAAGTTAAGAAGTTGTATAATTTTAAAAGTATTAGTGTGTCTGTTGAGACCATCAATTAAAGGATTGGGGTGAATTTTATAATTTAATTAATAGCTAGAAAGATCTTAGAATTATAAAAAAAAATAAAGAATATATGTAAGTATAAGAATTGCTTACTAATTTTATAAATTTATAATTCTATTAATAACTTAAAAAATCTTGAAATTATAAAAAAAAAAATAAAAAATATATATAAATATAAGAATTGCTTACTAATTTTGTAGCCTTATAATTTAATTAATAGTTAAAAAAATCTTGAAATCATAAAAAAAAAAATTGAAAAATATATATAAATATGAAAACTGCTTATTAATTTTGTAACCTTATAATCTAATTAATAGCTAAAAAAACCTCAAAATTATAGAAAAAAATAAAAAATAAATATGAATGTAAGAATTAATTACTAATTTTATAACTTTATAATCTAATTAATAGCTTGAAAATCTTAAAATTATAAAAAAAATCAAATATGTGAGTTTAAGAATTGCTTAACAATTTTATAACCTTATAATCCTATTAATAGCTTGAAAAATTAAAAAAAAACAAAGAATATATGTAAGTAATTGCTTCTCAATTTTATAACTTTATTATAGATGCTACAAAATTGATTTTTAAAAAAGGCTTATTTTGTTTTTATTAAAGCAAATTAATTTTTTTTATAAAAATGAGCAAATAATATTTATATATTTATACTTTATAATTTTGTCTATTCAAAAAAAGAGGCAAAAAAATTTATTTTTTATATAAAATAAATTAAAAACAATTTCATCTTTAGATTTTAATTTCAGATTTTAACATCCAAAATAATTTTATTAGCATATATAAATAAATCTTATAATCTAATTGATAGCTAGAAAAATATTAAGTAAGAAATAGTATATTAATTATAATTAGATAAATAGTTTAAAATTTATAAAAAATAAAATAAGATTGTATTTAGAAAATTTTCTTATTTGGTAAATAAAAGAAAAAAAATAAAAAATTTAAACTATATTTAATTGATTAATATAAGTTAATATTATTGTTAATTTTATCTTATATTAATTTAACTTTAACTTATTTAATCTTATTTAATATTATTTAATATTAGTTTACTAAATTCACTTAACATTAAGTCAAACAATTTAATATTAAAAGTTAAATTAAATAAGTTAGTGTTAAGTTAAGTAAGTTAATATAAGTTTAATTTGATTAACTATTATATTATATAATTATATAATACTGTAATACTTGTTGGGCTTTAACTTTACTAAAGAAGATTTGTATAGGAAAATTTCTTATAGAAAATTATATTTGCCTAGCTATACTAAAAATCAATTTTGTTTATTAAATATTAGCTATTTTATTTCAATAATAAACAATTATATAATAATTTGCTTATCTTGCTAATAATAAAGATAATATATATTAATATTACTACTTTAGTTTGTACTTTGGATAAATTAATATTTTAGATTTAATAGTTATTACTTTAGACAAGCTAGATATTTTTAAAATATTTATTATAAATAAACAAGTTAAAAGTTTATCTGATTAACAATGATTTGCTTTTTTGTTTATATTTTAAAAATTCATTATTTTTTATATTAAAAAATACATACTTATTATTTAATAGATATCTATAGATATAAGGTATTTCATAGAATATTAGTAAAATCACGTAGCCAAAACCTATGTGGTTTACTAATATTCTATGAAATACCCTGTATTTATAAATATTTATTAAATAACTAGATTATTTTATAAGTATAATGTAACAATCCATGCATCTATGTAATCAAACAAACTTCTCTTTTTAATAAATTGACTTCTTATTTTAGTAATCAGTTTTAGATCAGTCAACTTATAACATTATCAATCTTTTTTTTGTAAAATGGGTAAAAGAAATTATAACATTGCTCTAACCAAAGAAGATATCTTGAAATTGCAACAAGTGTTGCATGTAGAAAACACTGACAAGTATACTTCGAAGTGGTTGCATTTAGTTGACAGATTTTGTAAGACTATTAATTATAAAATAGATATTAAAAAAATAGATACAATGATAGAATTAGAAGACTTTCTTTGCAGATTCATTGTCTGATTGAAGTATTTTGATGAAAATGACTATAAAGCAGAGAGTATTCACAACTGCTATGCTTCTATAGCTCATTATCTAAAAGAAAATAGTGAAATTAAGCTCTGTAAGTTATAGAATTCATACTATTTTGGTAAAGTATTGAGAACTTTGGATAATAAAATAAAAAAACTCCAAAGTGTGAGTTTGGGCAAAACAGATCAAGCATTTTGACTAACTGCTAAAAAGATTATTCAAATTCTTGATCATGAGAATATACAGGTAGATACTAATGAAGGGTTGGTGTGATGAGTTTTTTTTTGGCTATTGCTTTTGTGTAGTTTTCTTGAAGGTGATGCCAAAAGAATTAATTTCAAAAATATATCTCATCATGATGATAGTAGTTTGTTTCTTACTTTTAATCACAAAAAAATAACCAATGTGGTGCTTTAAAATGAAATAAATATTGGAAAAGTTCTGCAAAAAAGATTTCTATCACTTCTGACAATATTAATAATTGCTTTAAACCAATTCAAGATATCTTGCATTTGATATTTTTACATCCTATGAATGTATGTAATTTTTTTTTTCTAAAAACAACACAGGCAAAAAAGAGTTTAAAGTATTTGTTTGTACTTGTTTTATAATTTACATTTTTAATAATCTTTATTACTAATATTGATTTTTGATTTTTTTTTTTGGTAGATATTCTAAAAGGTATTTTGTTTAAAAAAACTTAGATAGAAATTAATAAATTAAATACAATGATGGTAAAAATTGCAAAACTCACAAAAATTAACCTAGACAATAGCCACAAGATTAGTAATCATTTACTATGATATATAGTGATCCAATGGCTAAAAGATTTGAATATCCCAGATAAATATATAATATTTTCTAAACACCATAGCAGGGAGAAAATTAGGGTCTACAATAGCCCAAACAATGACTAGAGGCTTGGGAATATGTCAATATTAATCCTTCTAGATTTTGATAATATTCTGTATAAAGAGTTTAATTATTTTTCTAAGGATGCAAAAAACTATTTAGATTTTGAGGAAGATGATTATGATGAAGGTATTTATTTTATTAAATTATATTTTCAATATATATTAATTTTTTATTAATGAGTACCTCCACTTTCAAATAATAAAAAATTAGCAAATCAACAATCATCACCAGGACCATTGCAACAATCATTGCATAAATAATTATGTAAACAACCACCAGAACAATTGCATGAACAACCACCTAGATCAATATATAAACAACCACCTGGATCATTAAATGAACAAGCACTGGAACTATTAAATGAACAAGCACTGGAACTATTAAATGAACAAACATCAGAACTATTGAGTAAAAAAGTACCAGAACTATTGAATAAAAAAGCACTAGGACTACAAAAAAAACTATTATTATAACCACAAGTTTCAAAGAAATTGTATATGCCATTTAAGTTACCTTATAAAAAATTACAAGATTCAAGTCCTCAAACACCACAAATTGATAAGCCAGGTTACATTGAAAAATCATCATGTATTTCTCAGTTTTCTTCTAAATCTATAATACAATCAAGATTACCCTTAAGTAATGCAATAAATCATTTTATGCTTTTATTTTATTTTTTATTTTTTATTTTTTTTGGCGATCCTGCCTTTATTAACTAAGAATAGCATACAAGTATGCCGTAATTTCATCTTATACTATCAG